AGTGTGAGGTGAACACATGGTCAACCTCTAATCTTTTGCAAGTGATTAAAAACTGCCAGTTCTTCTTGTCTTCTTTCTTTTGTCTTATTTTTCTTCTTTTTTTATTTTTTTTTTCCTTTTTAATGCAATTTCTAGAAAGCAACTGGGCTAACATCAGTTCAAGATAATGATGCTTATAGTGGCAGTGATGTCTTGGAGCATCTCAGCAGCTGGAAATTTTGCTTTCTGTTCATGCACTTCTGCTTATCTTCATGCCAGCCCCACCAACCAAGCTTGTTCAGCTCTTCTATGGAAGAGTGGGAATCTCATGAGACTTGGAGCGTGGGGAGATGGTGAAGATGGAGGTTCTGTGACCAGCACTGACCTGTGGGCTTTTTGTTTCAAAGTGGTGTTTGCCAGTTGCCACATCCTGCTGCCCTAGTGCAGAGGAATGTGGGATTTGTGCATGGCAGGTACCAGCAGAAACTGTTGCAGGACTGGCACTTCCAAGCAGGTTCGGAGGCAAGATCCTACAAATCTGCAGGGTGTGGTGACCTCCTAGAGACCTCAGGTTCTTTCATGGGGTGCATCAATGGTGTCAGATAACCTGGCTCCTCAAATTGACCACACTGAAAATTAGCTCTCTCATGTGCACCCTTCCCAACCAAACCAGATTGTTCCCTCCAAGCTGGGCGTAGTCCTTGTGTTTTCTTCAGGGCCTGCATCAGGTTGGTTGTTTCTGCTCTGCACAATCCTCCTACTCTGTTCTAGAGCAGCTTTGCACACTGTCCCCACCTTACTCAGGGCACTCTGAAATAAATGAAACAATGATTTCAGGGTAGTGGGGTAACTTCCCCTAGAGAAGGGCAGGATTTGTGTGGATCAGGCCAGAGATCACTCCCTGGGAGATATATCTTTAGCAGGAGAGATGTAACTGGAAAAGCTATCTGCACTTCAGTGTCACTGGGATTAAACCATAGGCTGACCGAAGTTTCTGCTGCCCACACAACAGAGATGGAGTCTAACAGCAGCAGGATCTGTGGGAATTATTCCTGTTGCTTCCATGTAGTCCAAAATTTCATGTTGGGAGACTTGCTATCCTTTCTGTGATGGACTACTTCCCTATTACCTAGCCATGCACCACCTGGGAAATACAAGTGGATCTCCATCTCTAAGAAGCAGGTCCACAGTGATGCTCCAGGCTTGGCTACTGTGGCATCAACTTGGCCATCAGGTTGTCTTGCTGTGGTGACAGGAGGGGACACAATATATGCTTTTTCCTTGGTAAACTCCCTTTGTCAATCCATCCAAATAAGCTATTGTGGGCTATGAGGTGAGTTTTTGCCCATAATAATAATAGTAACAACAACAGCAACAACAACAGTGCGTATACAGCTACACATGTACATAGGCAATAGCCAAGGCTATTTCCTTTGCTACCATTATGTACATGTTGCTATTAAGTTGATTCATCTTATTACAATCTTATTGCAACAACTTGAGCAAAATATATTGACTGAGATATTTAACAAGCCATATTTTTCACATCTGTAAATGTTTTCATCTTGAATCTCCCAGTATGGTGCAGTTCTGAGGTAATTCTGACTCAGAGGAGCTGGTGTGTTACACAGAACTAACCTGTCACAGAGAAGCAAAAGCTGCAGCCTGCAAATGTTTAGCAGAATTCACGAAGCTGTTTGGCACATGGTATAAAAGGACGTAGCTTTCAGCTGATTTTAATAAGCAGATCCAGGAGAGCAGGACAGAATTGATACTGTCTGGGAGAAGGGAGCCAGCACCTCATTATTTTTTTTTTGTGGTGAAGAATTCTTGGCCATTGTTGCATATCTAAGTGAAAAGGAGATAAAATACATGATGCTGAAGTAAAACCTCTCCTCTGAGAGAGATCACTCAGTTGAGATGTGATGAGGGGAAAAGGTGGGGGGTTTGCAGTGATCCCTGGGATGGTTTTTTTTTTGATCCCTGGTGCCTGTGGCAGCTCCCCAGCTGGGTGGCCCAGGGGAGGTCTTAGCCTGGCTGGTGAAGCCAAGACTCTGTTTGGTCCTAAGACATCCACTAAAGAGCTGGAAAAACCCTGTCAGAGGTTTACAGTGCTGCAAACAAGAGCCAGTGAACACCTGCCCAGATACCAGGGCACGTGCAAGCCAATGAAGACAACACAGAAAATGTACATGTCCCCCACTAACTTACACAAAAGCATTGCATCTGAAATAAAAGGGAGCTTCACATCCAAAGTAAAAAAAGCAAAATTCATCCCACAGCCCTTCTTAGAAGGTATTTATGTTATTACCCATTCAAGCATTAAATTGAATTTATCTTTCCCCCGAGGCTGTGTTCAGCCATCCCACTGCTGTGCCATGAAGACACAAATGACCTGTTGGGACACCAAACATGATGTGTTTGCCCTACTCCCATATACCCTTTTCCTACACACTCCATCCTGCATGGACTTGAAATGTAAGGTTTACAGCCAGCTCAGTGCCCCTGATTTATCCCAATCCCCGAGAATCCCCAGGCTGACAGCTGTGGGACAGGCATGGATGACTTCAGAGACAAGCACGTGTCCCCAAAGCCTGTGGAGGGGATTTTTTGTGGCATTCAAAGGGCTGTTTCATGTGTCAATACGAGAGGAGCATAATTACCAGCTGAGAAACTGCAGAAAATAAGCAAAGGCTGAATGAACAAAATGGAAAATAAAGAGAAGCGCAGAGGACACACATATTTTAAAAGTATTACGGAGGTATGTATTCACGTGTTCTGGGGAGCCTGGGAATATATAAGAGCTTATGACTGCAAAGGAATGAATTCAAGGACTAGTCTATGGGGAGTTTTTTTTCTCCCTGTGACTTCAAACTTCTCTCGGCGCTCGCAGAGTTTTAGTCAGCTGGCATGCAACAGAGGTACGACTTCCCCAAGGAAACTCTTCCTCGGCTTGCGCTGGAAAGGCTGCTGGGAGAGTCAGGGGAAAAAAAGGCTGCAAACAGAGACGAAACCTCCTCCTCCAGCCACAGAGCAGGTATGTGGAGATGTGTGTGAACCCGGGAGCCTGCTGGAAAGTTGCACTTTCAGCTGCGGGAGAGATGAGGGCTCTGGTGACTTTGAGCTGCAGCCTTTAACACAGATGAGGAAGGTACTATATAAATAAAATGTTCTGTGTTTATGAATAGGCTGAGGAACCGGCTAAACACACTGTGTAGATGGCTCTATCCACACAGTTATATATTTAATCCATCAGGGACTTGCACTGTGTGAGTTAGATCATTTATGTTAAGGAGGCACCAGTTAGTTTATAACAGTACAGTTGTCATACACCGTATTTGTTATTATTCTCTGTGTTTGCAGGAATAGAAAGTGGGGAGATGATTGGTTTTTTTCTTTCTTCACAGGACTTCAGTCTATTTATGGTATTACTGCATTACAGCCTTCTGAACTAGGAGTGCTGCAGAGATCAGCATTGTACACTAATTAAATGCCACTCACTCAGCTTTCCAACACTGAATCCTAATATAGCTTTGGGCAAATCACACAGTCCCTGGGTAAAATAGGCAAAATTCTGTTTGGCTTGTCTGTTCTTCTTCCTGTCAGTGCTGTCATTGAGCTCTCCCTGTTGGAGCACGAGGTGTGAGATGGCAGGGTTATCTTGCTGCTCTTAAGACCCTGACAGCTTGAATGTCACCTTGGGTGAACGATGATTTACTGAGACAGCTCTGCTGCATCTGGACTGTTATCATGAGAATGAATGTGTAGGCAATATTTGGAAGTAGTAAAGTTTTAGCAAATCATAGTTTATATAAAAATCACAGTAAATTTTCTAAGGCTAAGCCCAGTTGTAATTTGGAAAAAAGTATTTTTGATAAAAGACAAATATGTTTCCCTTAAATAGAAGCGATAATTTGGAGTTTTTTACTGAGATGTAGTAATTTATACTTTAAAATAAACACATTACTCTAAAATTCTGAAATCCTCCAGTTTTCAAGAACAAAAATTTACAACATGTCACATCTTTTTAAAGCAGATGGTTACATCTTAGTGACGGTATCAGTGCTTGGCCTTTTACTAACACATTGATGGGTGGATTCAAGGATGGATATCAGTATTATGTAAATCAAATCTATCAGAAATAATTTTCCTCACCTCATTTTGTGTCTTACAGGATCTTATAAAATGTGTATATCTTTTCCCAAATAGTGACCCCACTGTCTATAAAAAATAATATTGCTGAATTAAAAGTGTATTTTATAAATTGGTAAGAAAATATTCTGGTTTGGTTCCTGAATCTGAACTTTGTTCTCCAGGGAGAGTATTTTATGCTTAGACAGTTTAATCTGCAAATGCCACTACATGTCCCTTTTTGCTGATGTAAGAGTTTTAATTTTCCCATCTCCTTCTGTCCCTTTGCCATCCCCTCACTCACAAATTCTCCAAGCTTGTGGGTTTCATTCAGTTCTTGTTCATTTACATTTTATTACCTGGAAAGAGTAGGAGGAAAAAGGGTGAATAAAATAGAGAACCTGGCTAAAACCTCGATAATTGGAAATGTTAATTTTTGGCGGGAAAATGCTGTTGGTTGAATATCTGATAAAGATGCACATGGAGAGAGGACAGAAAGAGAAGGAAGGCGGGCAGCAGCTTCAAAAGGCAGGAGAAAAGCCTTGTTGGGTTTACAAGAGATGGGGAAGTCTCTGTTTTGGTCTGTGGACTTGACACCAGAAAGTTTAGGGGCTGCATCTTCCTATGAGATGCCAAGCACAGTGCAGATTGCAGGAGAACCAGCTTCTGGAGATGTAGAGTGTCGGGAGCTGTGCCTCCTTCTCAAAGTCTGTGGTTCAGGATGACATTGGCTATTCTTTTTAACAGGGTCAATATTAATGTTGTCTCCAGCTCCCCTGTGGGATGAATCACCAGAGAGCTATTCCAGCCAAAAGGGAGCAAGACTTGTCCCACTCCTGTGAGACACACTTTCTAAGGCAGGAACTTGTTTTATTTACTTCTCTAGAGAGTTTGATTCATAGAGTTGACACAGGACTCAAAAGCAGTGCCTTAGAAAGCAGCAGCATTATGGATGGACAGACTCCAAAAGGTCTGGAGACTCAAGACTTTTTTTGTTCCTCTGAAACCCTTGGGAACCTGCAGTAATTTATAGACTGACTGGTAAGAGCCAGCAGCTAGGATTTGCTTTTCCTTCTTGCTCTAGGCTGTGCTGGGGAAAGGGTTTGGAGGAGAGGTCTGATAAGGTGTCCCTCACTTCAGGTGACAGGCGATGAAACTCAAATGACACCGACAGAAACTGAGTAGGAAGTACTGAGACACCACTGGAAAATCAGGATTTCACAGAGTTGCAGGTGCAAACCCTTTGGCATTGTTAGGATGGGACAGCCCTTGCTGTTTTGTGGGCAAAAAAGCTTGATTCTCCAATCTGTGTGATGGGGATGAGGATGGCTGGGTCTTTGAGCAAGCTGGTCTAGTGGAAGGTGTCCCTGCCCATGGCAGGAGGGCTGGATTATCTTCAAGGTCCCTTTCAAATTGGACCATTCTCTGATTCTGTGACCCAGTCTCTGATTGATGCAGGTGACATTTGTTCTGCAGGTGTGTCTTACCAAGCCCATACCATGCTAGTGTTTCAACACCACTTTAAGGTGTAAATTGCTGGGTAGCCCAAGGCCAAAAATATTGAACATTTGGGAAGTCAGCCAAATGCTTTGGAGTCTGACCCTGTTTGCTGCCAGATCCCCTTTGGGAAAGGACAAAGATGGCAAGAACAGCACTGATCTTTCCCACTGCAGCTGGTATCCTCCAAGAGCGTGGTTTTATTGAAGCAAAGCCCTGAGCAGTAGAATCAGTGCATGCCCTTCCCTCCTGCTTAGGCATTTGTTTCTCTCCAGGCTCTTCTTTACAGTTCAGCTGGCACAGCTACCTGGATACTCAACAAAACAGCTTAAGGAACAAAGCTGGTTTTTTAAAAAATGCAAAATCTCTGCTATTTTTATCCCTGTAAATCCAAACTTCCTAAAATGCTCTGAACATCTAGGTGTAGAAAAATTTGAAACTGCCATCATCCTGGTCACTCGCTGCTCTTAATTAGAGGCATGATATTTGTAGTCCAAATGAAATCAAAATATCTTATTAAAAAAAAGTATTTATTTTCCTTGGAGACCTCAAATATTCGAGGTTTGCCTTGAAAAGGTGTCTGTGCTTTTCAAGTGCTATTGCACACTGCTGACAAGGCAAATTCTAAACCCAGAGCATCCAAAAGATATTTAAATCTCTGCATATAACAATGGCCCCCAGTTTCGACATGAGTTTCCTGCTTACCCCAAGGGGATTGCTGATGGAGAGCTTGACTCCAGGGAGCATGCCAAAGGGATGAAGTGAAAAACAGCACTGCAAAATGAAACTCCAGACATGACATGGTTGGGGGAAGGTGATCAAAGCAAATGAGATGAGAGCCCAGTCAAGTGAAACTTCTGTGAGGTTGTGCTAATCTCACTGGTGGACAATTCTCCTGAGAGTTTAATGTGCATTTTTCTATCCATTGCACCTAATCATGCCCTCCCCTGTCACCTTGTCATAGTATTTTTATAGCCAGACAAGCAACCTGGTCTAGTGAAAGGTGTCCCTGCCTATGGCAGGGGGGCTGGAACTAGATGAACTTTAAGGTCCTTTCCAATCCAAACCATTCTGAGAGTCTATAATTCTGTGATTTATACCTCTCATTTCAGGGTGCATTACCAAGCAAACTAAGAGTCCAGCTCTTTGGTGTATTATTTCAGCCATGGGAAAACTGTGTTGTGGCAGTTCAGGCTTGTGTCTCTGGGAGAAAACAGCAGGGAAATCTGTGTAGAGGGGGGCTGTCCTGAAGCAGGACTTAATTAGCAAAAGGAAATGAGGAAACCAGCTGCTCCAGCTCTAGAGGGCAGCACAAAATAATAAATAAGAAGCTGAACTTGGGCAATTTGAAATAATCTTCTGCATGACAAAAGCACTGCTTTGCAGTGGGAATTCTTCCCAGTGGATCCAGTATATTCAGCCCTATGTACTTACTGCCAAAAATTCAGCAGCTCATCTGAAAATGCCTTTATGAAGGCCTTTATCCCTAATTTCTGCCTCATGCCATGAAAATCCATCAAGGGTGCTGTAGCCAGCAATGGACCCCGTCCTGCCAGCAGACTGCAGTCACACTCTCACTGGTAGGATGACTGCAAAAAGAAAAGTTATTTCTTCTGGAACAGGTTTCCAGATTCTGGGGTTTGTATTTATCCGCCATGAATTTCAAACATTTAATCCTCAAGCACTGTTTCCCTAAAAATGCAGAGAGAGATTTAGGTGCAGGAGCCTACAACCCTCCAGGAATGTGACTTGTGGACACAAAACCCCAAAATAAACACACGTGTCATGCCCCACATACACAGCCAAACAATGGCATTGCCAATAAGTTACTTATTCTCCTAAGCAAACCCACAGCCCGATCCTGACAATTCCTCTGGCAAAAATCCCCTCATTTCTCAATGCCTGCCCCAAGGAAGGGCTTCAGGATGTCACACAGTAGCTGACTCCGTCCAGAGCACAGCGGTGGCTAGGACCCAGCAAGAGCCCCGGGAGGAGTGGAGAGGAAGACAAGCAACATAATTTAAAGCACACACTGTTCCAAATAAGGTTATTTCCCTGAAAACGCCTTCATTCTGAAGTTATGAGTGAGCCTCTAGGTGTCCTGAATGGGTGAACATGAAGCTGAAGAATAATTGCATTGATACCAGGACTGAATTGATTTTGAGGAGCTGGATATGCTTTTTAAAGAGATGATAAGCAGTGTTTGGGGATGCAAGAAGCCCTTGAAACAAGGTAAATGTGAAATAGTTACTCTTTTTACCCCTGAAGGCTCTAACTTAACAGGAAGGAGTCTTATGTGGCAAAGGATCAGACCCCGGGGAGTGTGATTTGTATTCTGTATGTTCTCTTGTATTTAACTTTCTTTGGCACGGGAGAGCATCTCCGTTAATTGTCTAAGCAGTAAAAAAATTGTATTTGGGGGAAATCAGGAAAGTGCTGCTTTTTTTAGCTGCAAACATCTATGAAGTAGTTTCAGGATTAATATTGTGATAGAGACGGAGGCAAACATTGTTCTGAAGTGGAAACTGGGAATAAATTGTTATTATTCCATGGTTTGAAATCTGTATTGGGGCAAATTACTGGTCTTCTCTGCCTTCTCTGCCTTTCCTGTTTTTTTAACTGGACATGCTATCATGGTTAGGGTACACTTTTTCTAGAATTATTTGACCAACTTACTTGGGGATGATGCTGACTTAAACCACCCGTATTTTTCAGCTGGGGTTGGCACCGGGTAATTTTGAAGTGCTGTGATGGGAAGCTGTGCATTTAAATAGAGTTCAGAGCTCAATCCTGCTCTGAGTTGTGCTGGGGTTTCTATCACAGCTTCCAGTGGGAGCAAACTGGCACTGATCATGAAGCTTATTCAACTCAGGGAAAGCCTCAAAGCAATAAAAACTCTTTTAAGTTGAATTGTTGCTACTGTTGCTCCCAAACTCTTTTTGTGAGCTGTGGATAGAGAGATCAATGCCAGCAGGAAGGGTTTAGTGTCAATAGATGTCCTCTCTCACGCCAAGGGAATGGGGGTCCTGTAAACCTGAGCTCGGCACTGGGAGAGGGTGGGGGGATGCTGAGACCTGCCCAGGGGGTAGAAAAGAGGGGGATGCACTGATGTGTCACACTAGAGGTTGCTGAGAAGGATCTAAAGGTTGTTCAGAGAAAAGCTAGGCAGGAAAATCTCCTCTGCTGGACAGCTGAACTGAAAATTACCCTAGGAAGGGAATCCCTGTGAGCAAGGAGGTTGGGTTGTCCCATGACAGGTCGAGGGGAAGTAGCTTCAGGTTGTGCCAGGGGAGGTTCAGTTTGGATATTAGGAAAAAATTATTCACCACAATGGTTGTTAAGCACTGTCACAGGCTGCCAAGGGCAGTGGTGGAGACCCCATCCCTGTAAGGATTTAACAGACTTGTGAATGTGGCACTTGGGGACATGGGATACTTGTGGCTATGGCAGTGGTGGGAGAACAGTTGGAGTTGATGGTCTCAGAGGGCTTTTCCAAATGAAATGGTTCTATGAGGATAGAGTCTATGTTGTCCTATGCTGGAAGAGACCACCACATCCTTGATGAGCTTCAGGATGTGACAGCCACCGTAGAAACACCTTGAGGGACAGCATCCTTTCTTATTACAGATTTGCCTTACAAAGAAAAACATTATGTCAATTTTTTTGTGTTCAAATACATCAATTTCCCAGTTGCTTTATAAACCTAAAATTTAGGATGTTACAAAGTATGTTAAAACCTGGATTTTGCCGGGTTTAGTATTTAAGAGGCAAAGAGACCTTTTTTTGCACTGACAATGTGACAAGGACACATGGACCACGTGCTGTCCCTTAGGGTGGTTCCCTGTTGTAGTTAATATCCTCAACTTGATTCATTGCATCTGAACAGAAAGGATTTCCCTTTGAGGGCATGGAGAAAAGCCTTGTAATCATTGGGATGTTCATCTTTTATCACCACTTCAGCAAACTAATAAATGATAAAAACAGATTTCTCCTTCTTAAAGGAGGTCCCAGCTGCTCTAAGCATGGGGAATAAAGATCAGAGGGGGACAACAGAAACATTATAGATGGTGATATTGGCAATTCCTCCTTCCACTGGATGATTTCAGCCTATTTGCAAACATTGATTCAATGGTAGAGAATTAACATCCTTAGTTTGGTTTTAACAGGGAAGAACACACTTCTGATACCATTACTGAGACCCCTTCTTGTACCTTGGGGTCACAGATCATCATCTCTCACTGGGGTTCTTTTGTGAAATGGAAGGAATATACAAACTGTACACAGAGTAGCTGTGGTCTAATCCTCCCCACTTTCTCTGTTCTCTGATTAGGAAGGGGAGAAATGGGCAGATTCCCATCAGGAACTTGTTGGCATTGCTGTTCAGACACTGTCAATGCTGCGAAGGGCCATCAGCTGCATCCATCAAAGTGACTTAGCAGAGGGATCTCCATCAGCTGAGAATAATCCAAGCTCTTTTGCTTTCTGCTTTCCAATGCTCTGTGGGTGGAAGCCAATGAGCAACAGTACATTGATGCCAGTGGCTTGTGCATGGAGTTGGGGTTGCATTTGGAGCTGTTTGAAGCCATCATGCTTCCCTTTGGCTTTGGTTCCATTTTTCCCTGTTGTCCAGTGATAGATCTCCCAGTGCTGTTTGCTCCTTTTGCAGTTCTGTGCTCTTTTATGCAGTGCTTTTCAAACAGTTAAACTCATGAATTCTCTGTTTCACACAAATCCATTCTATTTTATATCCGTCTCTTTGTAAGGCATCTGTCCTTGTCCATGGCAGGGGGATTGCACCAGGTGACTTTTAAAGGTCCCTTCCAACCCAAGCCTGAGAGAGTTCAAGAAGCATTTGGACAACACTCTTGGACATAGGGCGTGACTCTTGGGGATGGTGCTGTGCAGAACCAGGTGCTGGACCCAATTGTCTTTGTGGTTTTCTTCGAACTTTAGGTATTCTGTGATTCTGTGGAACATATGGTTCTATGATCTCCTGTCAAATGTATTTAAAAGCCTTCCATACCTGGAATGTGTAAAATGAAAAATCTCAGTCCAGTCCTTAAGCTGTTTGCATGAACTCAATGAGGATATACATGTAAAAGCTCTTTGACACTCTGGGATAAGGGGAGTAGGAAATGTTATGGATGGAAAACAAAACTGTTCCCATTTTTGGTTGTTTCTGAGTGGCACCCATTGGCTTTGCTCAGGACATGGCACCCAAAACTTCAGCCCAGTTGAAAGCACCTGTGCTGTGTCTATGGGGAGTGTGAAGATAACTGGGTCTTCAGTAGTTTTCTTTCTCCATGATGCCAGACACCCTGCCCAGCTTGAACATCTGGACTTTGTTGAGTGTCCATTTAGGCAGCAGCTGAAATTGCACTGGGGAAAACCCATGTAATACCTTGGACCTTCCTTTCAATCCTCATGTAGATCTCTTTCCACCAGGCTGAAAGGATTACAAAGCTACACAGGTGGGTCACTAGTGCTGTAGGCTCAGAGATGGCTTAATTTATTGCACTGCTTATGTTCTTTTCCATGTAAGATGATGACCTGGTGGCCAGCTTTTGCATATGTTGACCACTGTCTCCCATGTGAAATCTAACTGTAATTATTTTTACCTGCAGAGCCATGAAACTGTACATCATCTTCTTCCTGGTAGCAGTGAACAAAGAAACCTCTAACTATCAACTCTCAGAGAGGACACCCTGTGAAATGGTAAGGCTATCTCTCTACTTAGGCCCCTTGAGATCCTGAGTGAGACTGGCACTGCACAAGTCTCTGAGAAGGGAACCCCCCAGGACCAGGCTTCCTGTGATGGCAGAGGTGGCATTTACAGGTTTAGGGGATGCTTAGCAGTCTGTCATCAGGCTGTGTCCTTGTTGTAGTGACAGCAAAGGCGGAGGAGGGGAGGCAAAGAAGGATCATTATCTTAATTTTCCTAAAGATGAGCTGGTTAAAAGAAATTTGACTTGATTTCCCTAAGATTGTACAGGGTTTCTGTGGCTAAGACAGAGAAAGAACAGACTTAAAATCAACTCCTTTATATCAGTTGTTCTTTGTGCTTTAATTAAAGCATCTTCTGTGAAATACTTCTATACCAGCTCTTGTGTAATAACAAGTAGACTGACCTCCTCTGCCCTGACACAGCATTTCTGCCAGGGAAGTGGTACCTGACTTCTGCTGGAGTGAAGAGAAATGACAAAGACTCTTGCTCCAGTACAAAATCTACTCCTTGAATTTTTGCAAGCACCTTGTACAATATTATAAATGTTATTCACAGCTGAACTTTCTCCTTTCCCTCTCCAAGTGCTTCTGACTGTACCAGGATGTTTAAAAATACTTTTCCCCCCCTTGAACATTGAAGTTGTTCAGCACAAATCCTCAAGAATTTCCAAAATAGGGAAAAAATAATTTGCTAGCTGTACACATCTCCCTTGTGGGACTCATTCCATTCCTGCCCACCCTGCCATATTGCTGCACTTCCTGAATTCCAGAAAAATTAAGACCTAGTGTATATATAAAAAGATCTTGGGAAGGTGACTGGGTAGCTCAGCTCCTTGACTGGAGAGGGGGCACTGATGAAGCCACTGTAAACAGGACAGCCTGGGTCCCATGTCACAGTCACATGGAGGCTGCCTGAGACACGCAATAATCCAAGCAGCTTCATCCTGTTCCTTGATGGGTCACAGACCAGGCTGATTGCTGAGAAGTAAACACATGCTTGCTTGCACTACTCCACTGTAAACGGCTTTCATCAAGCCAACAACACAACCACGCTGGGAAAAAATCAGTCCTGACAGAAAACACGCTGCAGTCAGGGGCCGGGATGCTCATCTGGTGTAAATCAACAGCTCAGCGTTGCTGATGTCCATGCTGATTGCCTTCCTTCACTGGGCATTTGGTGTGGATCCAAACACAGCTCAAAGAAGGAAGGAGCTACTGGATTAGCTGGTTAGCTGTCCATTGACAGTCCTGCACTGCATCACAGCCTCACTGTTTTATATGGCACTTTCCCTGTGGTGACACCTTTAGAATAGCAGAGGCTCAGAAATGGAAACTTTAATCTCAAATCTTATGGAAGAGGCATGAGTCTGAAACCTGTGCCACTTTCTGAGTCACCACTGATGGTTCTATTGCTGAACTAAACTTTACAAGAGTTTTAGGAAGTAAGCAGTCCCTACCAGACCCCTGACACGGGGGTGAACTGCCCTGATACCCATTATGGCACATCTATCAGCTTGTGAGACAAGGAACCGACCAAACGTCAGGATGTTCTTCCTAACTCACATTATTTTCCAAGGATAGGCAAAACTTCAACTGTATCATATTTTACCTCCCAAAGAAAGATGATTTTGTTAATTAATGTTAATTGGCAAAGGAGGAGATTTCAAATAATTTATAGAAGGGAAGGGATTTTAGAAAATTCTATTGGACCTTGCTTTGAGGTGATGCAAGGACAGATGCATAACCAGATGTCATAGGTCAGCTGATGTGTGGTACTTGGGCAAAATGCTAAGGTTTGATTGTGTAGCTAAGCCTCCACCTCAGCTCTTCTAAGAACAGTCAGGGACACCATACAAGGACAAGTCAGTGCCAAGTGGCCCCAGCCGAGATTGTTGGTTCAAATGTTCATGAATTGATAAAGGAGAACTCAAGGACAAGCTTGAGTCCTCTTTGTAGGGCTCTTGCTGAGGTGTCTGGCAACTTCCACCCAGTGAAAGTAGTGAAAGCTGAGCAGTGAAAAACTGGAGTCAGAAACCAAATGATGCCCAGCTTTTGCACGGTCGGGTCTTTTTTTGCCAGCATCTTAATGGGACCAAGTGGCCCTCACCCTCCAGTACTTCTTGACAATGGAGTTAAAACAAACTGATGGCAGCACTGGCAGAGATGATGAAGTCAGAACATGAGAATGACAAAAACCTATTTTCCAGTCTCAGGCTACCAACCCAATGGACTAAGGGGTGAGAGGAGAGGAGATAAACCAAAAAAATGCTGTTTGCTCCATCCTACAGAGATGTGCTTCATCTTTTTTTCCCCTACTGCTGATGAGAATGAAATTCATGCAGTTTGAGCCTTGGGGGAGAAAATATGGTGCAGGAGAGAAAAGATAAGAAATTTAGTGAGGATGAAAATAGTGAGTGAAAAGGAAGGAAAGTTTAAAAAGAAAAATGGGAGTGGAAATATTGTAGGAACAAATGGCAGACAATGGGAAGTGTAGATTTTATTAGTCCCTTTTATCACTGAGAGGGTTCAGTGGGTGCAGATTAAAAGCCAAATCGTGCAACATACATGGTGAACAGTGGCTGACCTCTCCCCCATCAACCTCAGTGGAAAGCAGGTTGCTGGCATTGACAGGAATTGCATCAGGACTTTGGTAAGATTCTAGGTGCCCAGGGGAATGGAGGGTGCTCAGCACTTGCTGGGATCTGGCTGAAAATGTGAGAAGAAACCTGGCATCTGCCTTAGGATGCAAAGCAGTTTCTGCTTTTTCACTCTGGATTTTTGTATCCTCCTGGCTTCTTCCTCTTCCACAAATGAGTAAGAAGAGGTTTCCCACCCTGCTATTCGTGCCTCAGAAATAAGGCCAGCTCTCGGCAAAATTTAACTCAAAATGAGGAAGTGTACAGTCACTTTGCAGGAAAGAAATATTTTCAGGGAGAAGCCAGAACATTTCCTTATTCTTTTTCTTTTTTTTTTTTTTTTTAATTTAGCTGAGAGAGAATTGAGTGAGTTGGAGGGAAAAGAGGAAGGGGTTTAGGTTTTAATAGTCAATTTACTTGGGA